ATGAACATTAAAGGAAAACGAGTGAAAAAGGAGACATGTAAACTAGGAGATAAAAACATAGAAAAAAGGAGGCAAAGGAACCTTCTAGGGGTGCTTGTTGCGAAGTATTACCGCAGGAATGGGATTTTCTGGTTTTATTTTTACACTTTCGCTCTGGTGTGACCAATTTCCTACACTGGCACTTTTTTCTTCCTTTTTCTCACTTATTACGTTTTATTTTTTGCACTTTTTTATTTTTATTTTTTGGTTTCCTTTTTGTCTTTGTTTTAACTTGTTTTATTTTTATTCCGTGTTTGTCTTTTTTTCATTTTTGTTTCGTTTTCTCTTTCTTTTTTAGTTAATTTTTTCAAAGGATCCAAACAACTCCGAGCTCCGCGATGGTGAGTGGCATCAAGGACCCACACAACTACGAGCTTGGCAAAGGAGTCGTGTCATGACTTCGGGGACCAACATGACTCCAAGCTTGGCAAAGGAGAACTATGTCGAGGGTTGGCGCAACTCTAAGCTTGGCCAAGGCGACTAGCTTCTCGACGTCGAGCTTCCACGCGACTTTGGCTTGGCGAAGGAAATCGGTGTAGCATTGAGGATCCTGGCGACTTTCATCTTGGTGAAGAAAAGTAGTGTCTTGACATCAAAGATTCGCACGACTTCGGGTTTGGTTAAGGAAAGTGGCAACTCAACGTCAAGGCTACGCGTGAATATGAGTTTGGCGAAAGTGAGTGGCACCTCGTCATCGAGGACCCACACGACTCCAAGCTTCGAGAAAGGAAGTGGCGTCTCGACGTCATAGATCTGGACTACTTCGAGCTTGGTAAAGGAAAGCACTATTGAGGACCCGCGCGATTCTAAGCTTAAAGAAGGGGAGTGTCATCTTGTAACACCCCGGTCTCTCACGTCAACACATGATCGTTACTCCCAACTATCACCTGGGAGCTAGACTAACCTCACAGATCTACACTGGCCTTTCCTCGCACCTTGTCGACACTCGTGCGCACCCGAGAATATTTTCCTGGTCAGTTACCCATTCCCAAATTATCCCAGGCCACACATGCTTAACCTAGAGGTTCTTTGGCGATGAGATTTTGATAAAGAAGGTGGGCCTTATTGATATGAGTAGTCTATTATTTCTATTAAGCAGGATGTCATATACATCTCAACTCAAAGGAATTGGCATTCTCATAATGGGAACATTTGCTCTTGGCACACATTTGTGCGCCTAGTGCCGGCATAAGTTCCACAATGTATACCACGATGGGCCATGATGGATCCATTTTATGATGGTTTTCTGCAGTCTTTTTGTCCGGATTAATCCAGGGTTTGGCCTTCTCAAGCTCCGTCGAACACGCATGCAACTTTACCCTCTAAGGTCATTACTTTGGTATTACTTTGCAAGCTCTGTGCACCTCGCCTAAGAATTTGCAGGTGTTATCAAGCTTGAGGATGAGCACCTCGCCTAAGAATTTGCCAATTGGAAGTTTATTTCTGTCGAGGGCGAGGTCAACTTTGTGAAGGTGAAGGTTGCCACTATCTAGAACCTGGCAATCAGCTACTTCTCCTTTATGTAGTGCTACCTACTTCTCCTTTGTGTACTGCTGATGGGCGGAATAGGATTTCAGGGCTCCTCTGTTGTGAATTGGACTATTGCCCCTTCATTAAAGTTGTTTAGGATGACATCGCGCAGGCGGCGCCATGTGGTACTACCGCGGGTACGAGCGCATGTGGTCGTTTCACGCATCATTTTCTCTTTTACCTCCTTTGGTGCACGCCAAATTCTATAACAATAAAATAAAAAGGAGATTTGCACTTACTAGCGATTGATGAGCAAGTTGAAGGGATAATCACCAAAAATATTCAGTTGAAACGTGGTAAAAAAGAGTGTCAATACCACTTATCACCTCTCATGGTCAACGCCAATGTTATTGTTATGAAAACAACTTTTGACTAAGGGTGGCTTTAGCCACATGGTTGAATTCGAGAGTATGGCATGTGTCGCTAGTAAGGAGAGAATGAAAAATATTTAATTGGGGGTGTGTACGATGGTCTTATGACATAGGTCACAGTACACTTACAATATTTGCATGTCAATGTTTTTAATAGGTTTGTTTGTACAAATGAAGCATGATCTAGTACTATATTAGAAATGTGTCGAGCAAAGATGGTTGTGGGTACGAGTTGAATGAGGCTCCTCAGATCCCACTCCCAAGTGACCAAGGCTACCCTTAAGATGGTGTGGGGGAAGGGTATGAGAGCTAATCTTGGCCCATGAGTCTATGGTTGAGTAGTCAACCCTTTTGCCATGGTGGGCTTTCTTCATGGGCATCCTTCTTCACTTGGGCTTCTTTGATTCTCCTTCTCTCACCGACTTGATCTTCCCATCTTTTTCGCTTTTGTTGAATTGTTGATGACAAATACTTACTTGTGTTGACTTATCTTCATTTGCTTTTAGTGTGCTTAGTCGGGATAAGTGGGTTTTTTTGGTAATCATTAATTACCCTCAACAGTTTGTAAGATTGGTGGATATATAAATTACATATTAATGATGCCATACTTCTTTTATTTGTGTCGTAATATTATTAGCATGACTTAATGTAAAATTATGGAAGTAACACCTCAAAGGTGTTGAAAATTCAAGAAGAAAAAGTAAAAGAAAAGAAGTATAGTATTGGAATTTCATGTGCAAACTTGTACGCGCATATGAAAAATACTAGTTCTCAATAAGACAAATACTATGAAATACAATGCGGTGTTCTTTGTTTTTCCTTCGATAGAGAGTGATTTTATTGACTTAATAGTGTCGCATGAAGGGAATACTATCAAAACGAATTTACCACCGATCTTGGCATGACTAGATTGCACACAACCAACACAGCCATGCACACAACCCACCTTGGATTGACTTAATAGTGTCGCATGAAGGGTATGAGAGCTAATATTGGCCCACTAGTCTATGGTTGACTAGTCAACCCTTTTGCCTTGGTGGGCTTTCTTCACTAGGCCTTCTTTTCTTCTCCTTCTCTCGCTGACTCAATATTTTTATCTCTTTTCCTTTGTTGAATTGTTGATGACAAAGACTTACTTGTGTTGACTGGATCTTGATAGCTGCTTCGAGTGTGCTTAGTCGGGATAAGTAGGGGTTTTGGTAATCATTAAATGTTCCCTAAACAGTCTGTAAGATTGGACATATAAAATTATACTTCCTCTGTCCGGAAATACTTGTCCTCCAAATGGTTGTATCTAGACTTATTTTAGTTGTAGATACATCAATTTTATCCATTTCTAGGACCAGTATTTCCGGACGAAGGGAGTATATTACTAATGTGCATGCTTCTTTTAATTATGTTGTAATATTACTAGCATGAATTAATGTAAAATTATGGAATTAATAATACCTCAAAGGCGTTGAAAAGTCAAGCTGAAAAAGTAAAAAGAAAAGAAGTATAGTACTGGAATTTCATGTGCAAACTTGTACGCATATATGAAAAATACTAGCCCTCAGTAAGACAAATACTATGAAATACAATGCAGCGTTCCTTGTTTTTTGTTCGACAAAGAGTGATTCTATTGACTTATAGTGTCGCATCAAGCGAATACTATCAAAACGAATTCAGAACCGATCTTGCCATCTTGGCATGACTAGATTGCACACAACCAACACAACCATACACATTTAAAAAAATGGCCGGCAAACAGAACATCGTACAAACATCATTCCTTGTTATGCACCCCATTAATTATTTTTATTTCCATGCATAAAAGCTTGGTTAGGTTTGCAGAAGAGTTGTTGCATTGTTCTACATCATACTCCCTCTGAGTGTTCAGCTACTCCAGCGACAACTATTTCGGTACACAAGGAGTAGAAGTTAACTATCTATATCTAGTCCGAAGTTCAAAGCAAACACATACAGTATAGTTTAATTTGCTTACAATAGGGCCGGTAAATCTGGGATGAATTCAGCAGGGCTGTGATTATCTCTATTCGAATAAGGATGGCTGTGCAGTCACAATGTGTGGTTGCATACGTATATGTTCAGAGTCATCTAAATAAGTGGTTGGTAACTACTGTGTAGATTTCTGCACTTAAATTCCAAACGAAGCACACGCATGATGCAGTAGCAGGCTAACAGGAGTCCTACAGGCCGATTCAGTACGTGGCACACCTTACTCCACGATCATATCAAACTGACCACGCACGCCCATATATATGAAACTTCTAGAAGCAGCAATTGGCTAGCAAAGATTCCTGTACGGTTTGAACCAAGTGTGTTTAAGACTAGAGCCCCTGGATGAAGTGTCGCCTGCAAATCGGGCACATAGTGCCGGCCGGCCGCAGAGTAGTTTCGAATTACATATGCTTTTGAGCTACTAGGTACTAGCAAGGGTATGCGCGTAACATGCACTATCTAGGTCACGTGGTTAATGCCAAACGAGCAGTGGCCACTTACAACCAACGAAAGAGGCGAGAATCTGTTCCTCAAAAGGAGAAGAAGAAACGAAAGAATGGCATGAAACCACGTCACTAGTGTTTGAAAAGGTTCACCTGGACGAAACAACGAGCACAAATTAATTCGATCCTGAGCTTTATGGCGATCTATACCTGCAACCCAATCGTATTGACTCGTTAAAGTCCATAGATATTATTATTTTCACCGAACTGTCTAATCAAAGGTGGTAGCTAGTACTACATATGATATGGCTCTTAACAATACTAGCAACATCATCAAGCACAACATACACATCTATCTACAGAGACTTGGAGAACAACGCTCCTCGATCGATCATCACTAGCTAAAATTTTGCATCAACCGTATCGTTTCTGAATTATTGGCAGTATATATAAGCTAAATAAGCTGAAATGTAAATGTAATCTTCACATCATCACCATTAAACCACAAAAAGATCGACCTTCATAACTCGGAAACAAGAAGGACAGTATCTTATTCTTATTTGAGCAAGAAGAAGCTAGGCATATGTGCATGTAGATGTAGAGGTGAAGCAGTAGCTCAGGAGCAGCCGTCTTGCACCCGGAGAGGGCTGGAGCTCGCAGGTGGTGCCGGGGCCGGGCGGCGCGCGCAGGACTCGGCGACGAGCGCCCGGCGCGCAGTGAGCAAGCCGGCCGGCACGAGCGGGCGGTCGAAGGCGGAGCAGTCCATCCAGTCCTTGAGCAGCTTCTCCTGCCCCCACATCTCCGGCACCCACACCCTCCCCGCCATCTCCCGCCTGTGCCGCTTCAGCCTTTCCCGCGCGGTCTCCCCTTCCTCCTCCTTGTCCGCTGGCTGCAGCAGCTTCCCCGCCTCCCGCTTCTCCTTGGACGTGGATATTCTTCCAGCTTGATCTTGCGCCGCCACCGCCGCACGGTGATCGGAGGACGTAGCGTCGGCCGCGACCGGCCGGCTTTCCTCCGCCAAGCCGCCCGTGCATGCCTCGGCCGGGTGAGCCGCGCCGTGCTCCGGCACCTCCTCGACGTCGCCGGAGTATGCCATGCAGCAGATCAAGCAACACACACTAATTACCCAGGCCAATGGAAGCTAGCTAGAACAGCAATGATTCTTGATCCCTTGGCAAACACCGGTCGTCTGCTGCCTTGCTGACCCCAATATAACGAGGCCGGGGGCGGGGGGAGATTAAAAGATAGGGGGAGGTGGGGGGCGGTTGGGGGAAGAGGCGGACACGTTAGGGGGAGCAGGGGAAGGAGATGGAAGGGGCTCGCCTATGGTGGCTGCGAGGTGAGCGTGGCCTGCCGCTGCGGCGCATTCCGCCATATATGTGGCTGCCCTTGCCCTCGCGACGTGGCCGGAGGCCGGAGCCGTGGAAGCAGTAGGTGAAGTAACTGTGAGGCGCGCGCGGGCGTAAATGTGTGTGTGCGCGGCTGCGGCTGCGTGGCGCGGTTTGCGTTTCTGAGGCTGGCGGCAGCGCTGCGCGGGCTGGATGCACCACGGCCAATCGGTAGATACCTCCGGTAGATTTGATCTTTTGCGGGGGCCACCGAGCAGTCAGTGTTCGTCTAGCCCCATTAACTTCGAGACTCTGACCCGACATTACTGATGGGGCGAAGGAAGGAGGGACGAAAGATCCACCCGACCCGAGCAATCAAATTTCTTTTCTTTCTTTTTCTGATAACTCAATCAAATTTTTATTTCATAAAACATAGTCCACACTTTTAAATTGCGGCATAGATATAATATTCCCTCCGATCAGAAAAAAGTGTCTCAACTTTGAACTAAGGTTTGAACCAACCGTAGTTCAAAGCTGAGGTTCAACCTTAGTTTACAGTTGAGACACTTTTTTCCTATTGGAGGGAGTACTAGGTAAGTTTCGGATTTATCTTTTTATATTATTTTGATAGTGTAAAAATGGATTTTATTTGATAAACATTTATTACATACATATGTACTAGTTTGACTTATCAAACAAAGCAAAATTTTATTTTATAAGTCGATAACAAGTGAGATACTTGAGCTGGTTTTTAGGGAAAAACCGACCCAAAAAATTAGAGATAGGAGGGAAAATTAGAAGGAAGAAAGGCGGAATATGTAGGGACAAGCAAACATATAGCCTTATGTCCTTTTCATTAAGTATTAAGCTGCCCTGTAATAGAGTGTAACTGTTTTAGGGTATTTTGAGCTAAAAACGGCCCTCCAACAGCCTCCCTATTTATAAAATTTGCTTCAAAATTTTTGGTCAGCCCCAAATACAACCATATGTACTGCAAATAGACGACAACAACCCTGCTCCCGCTAGACGAAAACAATAGTAGCCAACCGCCCCCAGTGATTTCCCGCCGCAACCGCGCGCCCGTCGCTCCCTCTCCCGTGCCGCAGCCGCTACCAAATCCATCTAGAACTGACTGATTCCATGACCGCCGCACCGCGCGGACGCCGGATCCACCATCCCCTGTCGTCGTCGCACTGCCACATCGACCCAATCGCCCCCCGCAGTGCCCTATTTGTCCACCACCTCCACCATTGTCGCGCGGCCAAATCTGGGCGATTCTGCCACTGCTGCACCGCCTGCCACTGAATCCGCCAGATTCCGCCACCCCACCGCCGAGGATGTCATCGACACGCACGTTGAAGAGCAAGACATTCGTGTCATCCGACTACGAGACTTTGGCCGCTACGGTCGCCGAGCTACAATGCGACGACCAGCGCCACTGGCTTGGTACCTTTGACACAGCGGATATCGCCCCGTCCGCGTTCGACGTCGTGTGTTGGTGGTTCGGCCGGATGCGGAGCGAGATGAACTTCCCGGAAATCGAATCCCGTGAGGCGACGGAGTTCATCGGTTCACCAATGAATATTGTATCATGTGCGGTGAAGAGGGACACCCGCACCGTCCTGGAGTAGCAGGACACCCGGGAGAGCGATGAGGCGGTGATGGCAAAGGCCACCGTGGAAATTCCGCACCTCGTGCAGGCAGAAGCGGAGTGGTTCAAGGCTGAGTCCGAGGATGAGATTGAGGAGTTCAATACCTCTGAGGAGGAGACCATGGCGCTTTGCAACACTGTCGACACACAGCCTGACAAATGATAAGTAGTATGTGTGTAGAGGTGTAGTGTGTGTGTAGGAATACTATGTTTAAGTATGCATGTCTGGATGTTTAGATCGTTGCATGTTCAAAAATTTGAATGTTTGGAAGTAATCAATAGGCCATGTCCAGGTGCACAACACTGTCTGAATGTATTGGAGTATGCAATGTGATCAACTAGTTTGGAGGTTCGTTTGAAAAACAATGTGTGGATGAGTGCTCTGTCTTAAGGCAGATGTTAAAAGACCATTTTTTTAGTGCCCTAAAAAATATTTTTTGTACTCTAAATTCTGTTTCGACTGATTTTTTTAGCTGCTGGAGTTTTTTTTTTTTTTTTTGAGAATTGGCAGCTGTTTGAGGTGCTCTTTTTTCTTTTCTTTTTGAGGGGTGTTTGAGACGCTCTTATGCCGCATGCGCAGACACAAGTGCCATTTCGATGGCGTAAGAGCAAGTCTAGTAGAGCCCTCAAACCCTCAAACCCCTAAAAATAACCGATTTTTTACAGTTTTCGCCGAAAAAACGCCGTAGACTAGAACCTCTAAACCCTCAAACCCATAAAAAAAATTAGAGGTCCAACCCTCAAACCAGTTTGCAACCTGTAGAAGTAGGGGTTGAGAGGGAAATCTCCCCCCCAACCCGCACTCCTCCTCCTCCCTCGCGCGGGAGGAAACTTCCTCCTCCTCCCGGCCTCCTCCTCCCGCCGCCTCCTGCCGCGCCGGCCATGGAGGGCCCCGCCGCCGCCGCGCCCGCCTCGCCCACCCCCGCCGCCTCCCCTGCTCCTTTCGTCGCCGTGGCCGAACCTCCTCCTGCCGCGCACGAGAATTTCGAGAAAATGGCAACCCCATCCTCGTTCATGGACCTCCTCCAAAACGCGGAGGTGGACCTCGGGGCTCCGCCTCTCGAACCCTTTAGGGTTGGTGACGACTTAGAGGAAGATGAGGAGGATGAAGGTGATGACGAGGAGGAGGTGGCCGAGATAGGAGAGGAAGCATTCACCGCCGTTTCCCGCCCACACGCGCGGTCGACAAACTACACCAAGGCGGAAGATATCCTCTTGGTTCGTGCCTGGGCAGCTGTAGGAATGGATGCAACCACCGGCACCGATCAAACCGGTAAACGGTATTGGCAAAGGATCGATGACACCTATTGTAGGATCAAGCCGAAGAATAGTGGGTTCATCTCTCGCACTTACCGGTCGCTTCAAGGCCGGTGGGAGTTGATGAAGCCCGCTTGTGCTCGTTGGAGTGCGGTCATGGACCAAGTGAGGGATGTACCACCTAGTGGAACCGTGGAGAGTGACTATGTGAGTACATATTTCTTCACTATTTTAATTATGTGTGTGTACTATGATATTGGTGGGTTCTTATGTGATTTATGTGTGGTTGATAGGAGACAATTGCCGGCATGAGGTACAAGCAGATGGCCGCTTCCAAGGGCAAGCCATTCCCATTTAAGCATGCTTGGACAATTCGTCAAACCTTTAACAAGTGGAACTTGAGGGATCAAGAGACCGCACCCAAGAAGTCGGCAATGCTTAGGATGGGTGATAGTGAAGATGAGGAGGAGAGGAACTTGGGCAAGCCCGAGGGAACCAAGAAGGGCAAGCTAAGGGTGAAGATGGAAGAAGAGGCGTCAAGCCTAAGGGAGAAGATGGACCACATGATGAAGGCAAGAGAGGAATTGACAACAAAGACATTGGAGACGAAGCTTCTTATCACCGAGAAGAAGAAAGAGGTCAAGCTTGCACAAGTTGAAGCAAAGCGTGAAGAAGCAAAGCGCAAGGCCGAGTTGGAGAAGGGGATGATCAAGCTCAAAGAGGCAAAGGTATGGAAAGAACTCATGGTGGAAGAGAAAGAGCACATGATGATGTCCAAGAAGGACATGGATCAAGACCAATTGCAATGGTGGAAGGACTACAAGGAGGACATCGCGAAGAGGAAGAGAATGTTTCGTGTTGCGTCCTCTACTTTTCGAGGTTACACTCCGATGAGTAGTTGTGGCATGGCGGTGTGTACGACTCCACCAGTGCCCATGGAGATGCTTGATGGAGCCCGCATGTGGTCTAGGAGATGGCGCCGAGGTGCAACTTTTTGGTGATGGTGCCGATGAGAGGAGGAAGATGATGATTTTGTGATGTAAACTATTAAACCATGCATCAATGATTGTCATTTGGTAGTTTGTTTGGAAGTTGATTGTGTTCTTGTTGTCATAAATTGTGAGATGTCAAATGACATCAATGATTGTCATTTAGTAGTTTGTTTGGAAGTTGATTGTGTTTTTGTTGTCATAAATTGTGAGATGTCAAATGATAGATTTAAAGATTGGGGTTGAGGCAAAGACTAGAACCCTCAAATCCAATCCTTAAAGCAGTTTAAGGGTTGGGTTTGAGGGTTCTAGTATTTGTCCCTGTTTTTTAACCTTTAAAAGTGTCAAAAAGTGATACTTCTCAATTTTTAAAACTGCTTTAAGGATTTGAGAGTTTGAGGATTCTACTAGTAATGTTCTAAGGCGGTCCGTTTGCCAGGCCTTGTGCGCCTGGACAAGGAACGGCCCAAGGAGGCCCGCGGCAACAGTTTGGTGGAGTGAAACCGGGAAGACAGAGTGGGAAAGAAGATAACGACAAGGAGGCTTGCCACGAATCGCCAGTAGCTGCCGTGCAGGACGCGGAGAGGGACCTCCCGCCACTGTTGTATCCTCTAGTAGTGATCAAGGAAAAGCAAGTACTCCCCCGCAAAACAAAACAAAAGGAAAAGGAAGTACTCCTAATTCACTGCTTGATTTGATGGTAGCTGGTGGATGACTGGGTGTGGAGTAAGATAGCAGGGTAGAATTATAGTACGTGCACCAGAAGAACCCGAGCGCTGGTCCACGCAAACGAGGGTCGCACAACGAGCTTTGCTTGGCTGCCGGCTCTTGCTCGTACGCTTGGCGAGGGCTGCGCGCGCTCGCGGCACCTGCGTGTCGTACGTACGTGACGCCCCTGCCTCGTGTATATTCGTGCTGTCGGGCCTTTACCTTTCGTCGGACGGCGACGCGGCGGGCTCCCTTCGCGCCCGGCATGGCGGCGTGCGCTGCTTCCCCTCCCGTGAATCATCGGGCTGAGCAGGGCACTTCACACTTCACACCCTTCTCATCGCCCCTCAGCGAGCGGAGCAGCAGGTGCCCGTGTCGCCCGGCGGCGGCACAGGTTGCGATCCGCGCTCCCGCCGTCATGGGCACGCCTCGTGTACCCAGGTGCGCGCTTCTTTCCTGCCTGGTTCTGTTCCTTGAGCTGGAGGTAACGAAAGTTAGCCGGTGCAATTGTACCGGCCGATCGCAACGAGTCAGGCTCTTCAGATTGTAGCTTGCAAGGCAGCGTTGAACTCAGTTGCTTCAGATTGTAGCTTGCAAGACTCAATATTGTCCTCCGTTCAAAGATCCCTGTCTTTAGGGGCGTGTTTGGTTAAT